ATCATCCCTGAATTGGTGCCGACACTGTCCTTCCTTCTGAATGGTGGCTACTTCTGGTCCTCATGTTTCCTGTGTGTTGTAAAGTAGCCACCCAGGGCCGTCCATATAATGAGGCAGCCTTAAGCTATTGCCTCAGGTAGCTTCTAATTGAGAGGGCAGCAGGTGTGTGTGTGTGTGTGTGGGGGGGGGGGGGGGGGCGGGGCACTGCACCTAGGTTGCTAAAAGCTTTCAGGATGAAGTACTCCCCAGAGTGTTTGTTTCAAAGACAACATGGGTTCACAGATGTTGTCTGACATCTGGAGAGGGGATATATGAGGGTTAGCCAAGTTTTGGCCCTCCAGCAGTGGTGTAGGTGAACCTGAACTCAAAAAGCGAACATTTTCTATGGTATAGGGAATATCATGGTAGGCTAAACCCTACCTTGAATAAATTACTTTTTTTCTTTAATGCCTCCTAAAAAATAACAATGCACTTCCGGGTATTTTAGGATGCCGAGACAAACCTGTGGTTACAGCCTCATAATTGCATATCTGCAGTGTGAGATTTAAGGCACTGCTGCCTCTGACTGCTAGTTTCAGGAGAGTGAGATTTGGCCACTGTTCTTGCCAGTGGCTTTGACATTAGAAAGCAAAACCCTGCCTCTGCCAAAATGATCCCTTCTGCACAAGTCACTATTCAGGAAAGCTCAGCTGCAGGGAGACCACAGGCAATGCTGGTGACGACTCACCTGCCCTCTGTCTGCCTTTCTCCAGCCACAGGTTCCAGAGCTAGGTTGTCTTTAAGACCCCATTCACACTGAGCTACAACAAAATAAGCTTTTTCAGCACTGATTTGATCTGAGCGACTTTGAGCTACAGTGCACATTTTATCACAACCACGTAGCATTTCCTTTGGCAGTCTATCAAAGTCTGTTGGGTCCAAATTCAGCTTCATATTTGAGCGATTTTTGAGTGGAAACTGTGCTACAAATCGCTCAGTGTGAATGGGGTCTAAGGTAAGATGAGTGAATGTAGTAATTACAGAGTTTCCAGGTCACTGATTGGTTTCATGTGTTTCATTGGTATTGCTCTTGACATTGTTTGCAGACAACCCATTAGAGCACTAGTCATTGACTGACACCTGCCACTTAAAATAACTCAAGCTAATTAACTTCCGCATGCATAGCTCTTAGCTAATCCTGCCTTACAACATATATAAAGAGCGGCACCTTTTTCTTGATCAATAAACAATTATATTCTCAGTTGCAGCTGTATTTACAGTACAATACAAGATAACAGCTCAGCACAAGTTATACAACATTGCAATGCATGCCAATAGCAATTATCTTAGGAGCTTGGGATTTTTAAGACTACTTTTAGCTGGAGACAATATGCATACTAGTAATTATCACTACAATATAGAAATAAAGATAATAAATCTGTCCTAATGTTCTATAAGTGCATATTTAC